TGTGGGGGGGGGGTGGATATGTTTGGGTATGTGTGTATATTTTCTGTGTTTGCCTCTGGGTGTGAGTGTGTGGGGATTGTGTGTGGTTGTGAGTGTGTCTTTTTGTTTCCGTTTTTGTTGTTTTGTGGAATAACAGTACGTGGGAAAAGGAGAAATTACTCCTTTTTTTTCTACTGTCCTCTTGTGCGAACACGATAGAAAAGTGTCTTTTAACACACAGATAACAGCCCCAGCTGACAAAGCTGCTTTCCGTGTGGGGTCTAATCCATAGAGACAAACACTCTCTTCTCACACACACTCACACACTTTTCTGTAATCCTCACTCGTCTACAGTCTCTCCATGTCTGAGCTTCCATTCTCAGATGACACTTCAAAGCCGGTATAACAACACATTGTCTATCTGCCCCCGCAAACAGCTCTAAAAGACTTTAAACTCCCCTAAGTCTTTGGTCTCTGTGTCTCCCCACATGGACAATGCTCAAATCCTCTTATCTCACACTTAAGAAGGGCCTAATATACTTCATCCTTATGTGACATTGTGATGCGTATGACTGTGTCTACTCTGGATGTGCAAAGTACACAGTATCAAGTAAAAAGGCTTTAGAGAAAAATAACCAAACAGAAAACAATATGGCAAACTTTTCAGGAAGTCGGGCTGCTTCAGACTGGCTAACAGCTCTATCAGTAAATCCACATTACCGTCCGACTCCAAGTCCTTGGAGCTGACAGCTTGCCTCCCTGTTGTTGGCGGCTGACGTATTACAGCAGGAGAACTGTTCTCTCATGGCTGCGCAGAAACCATTTGGGCTGTGCTCAGACTGTCCTCCATCCAGATTTATACAGATTGTGACTAGATTGAGAGAATATTCAAACTGTTGTTATCTGCAGATCTGGAAAGCACTCAATTCAATTCCCCCATAAAAAGTCCAAGATATTGCCATAGTCTTGAAATGTTACATATATGTTTGTATTCCTGCAGTAGACACTCACATTAGATATATATTTGTGTGTATGTGACTGAATCCTGTTGGGATATGTTATACATGGTTATAGCTGTTCAATTGTTTTTTGTGGAGATTCAGCCAGAACTATGAGACCCAAAGCAAAAATTGTCGCTTCTGCGGCTTCAGTAGCTAGGAGGCACATTTTCTCATAATGGGTAAATGCAAGTTTTATCAAAAAATTAATTAATTAATTATTAAATTGGTTTATCCATCCTTCAGTTTTCTTCCACTTATCTAGACCTAAGTTATATAATTAATTATTATTTCTAGGAATTATTGTCATAGATAGCTAAATAAATTATTTAAATGTCAATGAAGTAATGTTTAATAGAAAATATAATGCCCTATTGTCCGTATGTCATTCTTTGAACAAAATGAGAATGAAAAATACATGTTATATAGGGCATTATATTTTCTATTAAACATTACTTCATTGACATTTAAATAANAATGTTTTGTTGCTTAAGCTTATGTATTCAGTCATTATTCAATGGTATACTAAAATCCATGTGAAAAAAATTGCTTCTCACTGTTCTCAGGTCAAATATTTATATGCGATTAAAAATGCGATTAATTGCGATTAATTAATTACAAAGCCTGTAATTAATTAGATTAATTTTTTTAATCGCGTCCCGGCCCTAATATAGATATATATATATATCTAGATATATCTATAGATATATCTAGATATAGATCTATAGATATCTATAGATCTATATCTATATATATATATAGATCTATAGATATCTATAGATATATATATCTATCAAAAAACACATTTTACAAGACATCTTTTTTATTGTTTTAATAAAATGTGGTAGGCCTATGTTACAATAACATTTTAAAATAGGTGTTAAATCGGTACCCTAATAATTACAGTGACCATGACTCACGATCACTGTAACCATAGTTCTCATGATTCCTGAGTATATGGTCCTTTAGTTTAGTTATGCTGATCATGATTCATCATTAAGATCATTCAAATTGAGCAGTGTCTTGTCGCTCTGTGACAGTTCAGCTGGTGCTGGGATGATTGTTTTTGGTGGAGTGGCCTCTGCGTGATCCTTTAGACAGCTGATAGGTAGGAAGCCTCAGGAGGTTGATCACAGTTTATCTCTAGCTCCCTCTGTACGTACTATAGGAGAAACGACTCAGCAGCAGAGGGACATGGTACTTTTGGCCTGGGTCAATTATAGTGAAGACAATCTGCAACAAAACACCAAACATGAAAGAGATCAACAATTACAAGTAAAAGATTTACAGGATTGGTAACATGCATGTGAAATGTTAAAGGAGGATACAAAATAACTGATTAAGTAACACAAATATAGTACCATAACAAGCAAACAAAGGAGCACAACAACTAGGAATGGAAGCTTTTTCCTCACCTCAACATACGGGTAAAAACAGGTCTCTCCCATACTCTCCCAGTACAGAGCCGTCTCAAAATGCAATCTATACACACCAGCAATAAACATTTCTTTTGTAATGAGTCCAGGGCAGCGTCCTTCAGCATTAGTGGTCCTGTTGAGACAAAATAGTATTGTAGACCTATGAATGACAATACACATTGTCAAGTGTTGTTTTAGATGTTCCTGCGATCATAATTTGTGACTTTATGAGCTATTTTGATTGCGGCTGTCGTTTTTTACCCAGAGGTCAGCAAACTCCAGGTATTAGTGGTGGGGTCTTGTCGATAGAGATTGAGGGCCATGTTTGAGCCAGGGACACCCATCGCTGTGTTCAGCACATGGGTGCTCAGAGGACTAGGGGCTGCCATTGCTGTGATCTACAGAACAATAAGTAAAACATATATGATTCAATCTGAAGAAATCAAATTAAACAACAATATTAATAATTCCACAAATATTTTTCTAATAGTTTCTTGAAGAGACATGGACTGTGATTTCATATTTATAAGTCCTTAGGATAGTGAAATCACAATACATGAATATCCCTTTAATAGCTAAATATTAAATATGCCATCCGACTGATAAATACAAACTCTTCATATCATATTTTTATGGCAAAATTGAATAAAATCTTCTTAAATGTTAGAATTATTTCAGTGACTCAACTATTGACTGCTCCTATTGGGCTATAAAATAAAGTACACAAAACAATACAACACATGAATTATAATCTTATAATCAATTGAATTGTATTTTATTAAAGTTTGTTTTGTGCTTACCTTATTTTCAGGAAAAATATGACCCTTGAGTTGCTGCAGCCTGGACACACTCATGTGCACTGATGAATGAAATCCAAACTAGCACAGCAGTTTTAGTCAACCAAATTGTAATTTTATGGTAAATTAAAAGGCATCAGATGTTTGTCACATTGCCTTCATGCAGTTCTGCACCCTGTCCTTTTCGGCATGACATTCCGTACTCGTGTGCTTATCTTTTTGTCAACAGACGACTGGTTGTGCAAGAGCTCTTTTTGTCACACTTTGCTTTCAGCACTTTGAACTAAGTGGAAATGGATGATCCAAATGCTCAGAGGGCGAAGTAAATGCAGACAAGCACAGCTACTGGAATTCAAAGAAACATAGTATTTTTATTTCTTAACATTGATGTTTGACTGCTAGGTTAATAAACCCTGAAAACACAACCTTCAACTTCCTGGTTGAATTCCACTAGTGAATTCCCTAACAGCTGTGTACTCCTCTCTCTGAAGCTCTGTTAAAAAGAAGAAGAAATGAGACTCATGAAATAGTTCTGCTTTGAAACCACTTCCTGTAATTCAATGAACCGAGTTGTGGAATAGTCAATGATTTTAATCCAAAGATAAGACTGTTTGAAAGTCTATAGTCGGTAAGATTTGTAATAATAACATGTTGCCAACTCTTTTGAAATGATATAGCCGCAATAGCTCCAAAAGACGCTAAAGCGAGAAATTAACAGAAAACTACACTGACACAACGTCCCTTCAGGAACTCCCTTCAAAGCCGTTTCCCAGAACTATATCAGTAACGTACACAGTTTAGACTTTGGAGTGAACGTAAACAACATGGCTAATGTTAGAAGGCTACTCACTGCTGTTAAGCTACCAGCCTGTGCTAGACTCCGGTGACGCGCATGAGTGCACGGGCAGGTCGCGCGCAGGTGGGCAGACAGGTAGGTTCCAAGCTTCACTTCGCAGGCAGCCAGGTTTGATTTATTAGTCCTGCGACATGCGCATATACCGGATTTGTATAGTAGGCCTACAGTTGTGAGGTAATATCCAGAACTGAAAGTATTTACTATTGAGACGCATTTCTACCATAGCCAATGGGCTTCATCAGCAAATTGAACATAGGCTAAGTTTTACATCAGTAGCTTATATTAGTCTTAACAATTAACTTGGAACCTAATTCAAACTTATTTTCCTGATCTGATTTGAATATTTATTTTAGTTTTATTATGTATCTTATAGCAGGATCTCATGTGCTGTTAAAGAGAGTAGCCTATAGCCTATACTGGGAGGATTGTTCAATATTTTCGAAAAGAAAAATGCCATAAACCATATGTTATACCATCAGCAGCCTTCAATACAACACACACCAGCTTTCCTCTGTTTAGTGTGGAATATAGTATAGAATCAATTCTTTCGAATTACTTTTACAATTTGGATTAGTTGCACACTTTTAGCGGTCACATTTTGAAGCTTTCAGCATTTTTTTATGTAAATAATGACCAATTAAAGAAAACTTTGTTTTGATTTTGTTTGTTTCTCCATCCCTTTTTTACTATGTGTCGCCCTTGGTTCATCAGAATAAAAACACACTCCCATCTACTGTACTTATACTCAATATGAAAATACTTTTACTACCGTGACAATGAGTATTTTCACTTGGCTTATCTTAAGAATGCAAACAAAAACATGTAACACCATAAGAATAACATGATTGTTTTCCTTTAAAAAAAACATGAGGAGTCCTAAAACAAGAATAAAATCAGACGGTTCAACAATTACATTAAAGTTTACAATAATACACAATATTAGACACAGACCTGGGCCTTTGCATGTCTTAAAAGTGCCAAATACATGGTGGAAAATAGTTGTAATACTCATCTAATAAGTTTGAAGTACACAAAAGACATTGGTTTACAGAAGTATGTATTCTGATACTCTTAACCAGAAAGCAACCAGTTTCTCTCCTGCATGATCAGTTTGATCATCCCTCAAGTATTACTGTGATTTACTTTGACTAGTTCAATTCTGATTTCTCAGAAGAATACAACAAAGAGAAAAAGGGTTAGCATTAACAAAAAGCACTCTTGAAATATCAAATTTGACAGTGTTTTCTTTTGCTTTTACATCACAGAAGAGCTTTTCATTTCTCAGTACATGCACAACATTTTCTAGATATACCCATCATTCTGAAAATCATAATAATGTAATCTTTTTACATGGTTTATAACCTCTGTGCTGCATTCATATTTCGGGTTCTATATTGTTTGTATTCCAGCTAATTCAAGATGTAAGAAATCCGTTTTTGGGAGAAACTGGTGAAACAGCAGAACCATTGTAGTACCTCTAACAGAAACATAATGCTTTTTGTATGTACAGTCTGATAATGGAAAGCTGCCTGGTTTAAACGAAGGTGGTAAGCTGCTTAAACAAAGTTTTAATCAGAAAAACCCTATTGTCTCATTTGGAGTAACACTGTATTATTTGGATTAATACTGGAATATGTGTTGGTGCAAACCCTCTTATACAAATTATTAGAAATGCCTGCTGCTGCTAGAGCATACAAAGTGAAATACACACTGTCCTTACATACTAGTGAATCAGTGCATGTACTCAGTTTGTATTAGTCAACTCTGTCAGCGCTTTAGTTTTTCTCAAAAGTAAAAGAAACCAAGCTGCTATGATGCAATTAAATGTATTGTGTTGTCTGATATGTACACCCTGTTGGAAGGGAGTTGAGCCTCTGATATGAGCGTTTGCTTGGGCGTTGTTGTTCTCTTCCTCCATGTTTGGCACTTAATCCATGTCTTCTGTGTCTTCTCATGTTCCTCCCTCATATTTCCTCCTCAAGGTCAGAGCTGTGGTTGCTCATCTGTGACAGACAGGTAGACAAAGACGGGACAGTGAGAGACAAAACAAAGGGACGTTTCATTGTACTGCAATCTCACAATGACTAAGTATTCTTTAATGGAGCAAGCATTAATTGATTTCACCACAGCAGAGCCTCATGAGTAGATTCATCTCCTCACATCTCTTTGACATTGTTAATGGGAAAGCTTAAAATAATGTAATAGTAATTAATTTAAAATGAATATCTGGTCTCAAGATCTTTTTCAATTTCAGTGGGAGCCTGAGTTGTTGTGTATTATTGTCCTAAATAAAAAAAAGAATATAGCCACAAAATATGAACCCACAGACATTCTGCCCTAAAACAAAGTAAACAAAAGTGCAGCTCCACTTTGACCTTTGTCATGAATATCACCAGTAACCAATTATATCTATATTTCATATAAATATTTATCTATTCTAATGTTATAATATTTTTTTAATGGTTTTTTAAAATAAGTTTTGTTTTAGATTTTTATAATGTATCTTCTTTAACTGTGTTTATGCATGCACCATATACACCAAGGCAAATTACTGGTATGTGTAAACCTAGCTGGCAATAAACTAGTTTCTGATTCTGATTCTGAGTAACTAAAATCATGCTGTAACGCACTAGGGAAGGAACCAGTGCGCACAGCCTTCAGGTGCATTTACCGTGTGGTGGTCATCATCGAGCTCCCTCTGGTCGGGTTTCTCTCGGTGGATTCGATGGCGAGAGCTGGGCGGAGAGAGGGAGGAGAGGGAGTGCTCGGGGCTGCTGGCAGACAGAGCGTATGGTGAGCCAGCTGGACTGTCCTCTCTCAGGGGAGACCCTAACACACAGGAATAAACACACACATGGAGTTTAGGTGTTGAGCTCTTTGGAGGATAAAGAAAATACATGTGTTCTGTGGGTCGAATACAAAAACCTGCGCACATCCCACTGACTTTGTACGAGATGACAGGCAGAATCTAATAGAGGGAGTGACAAGAGGAAGGACAAACAAGGAGATACCAGGAGAGAAGTGAGAGACAGCAGAGCTAGATAGTGACAGACAGGGGAATCAAGTCGAGCCCGAGATAAATTAATAGGCTATGAAGATGAGAGCTATCACACGCCCAAGGTCATTCAAAGTAGGAAGAACACACATACTTCCCTGAAGGTCTGCACCGTCAGTTCAATTAGCCCCAGGACACATTCTCATTTGAGTTTACTGTCTGTTTATTTATTCAGCCTGATGTTATGATAATGACTCAAGGTTAAGGTTCTTTTTTTGTACAAGAGCATGCAGCAGTGATTGTGGATATAGTGCTCAGTGGAGGGTGGACTATAAATTAAAAGCGTTAACTTTGCTTTAGTTTACGATCAGTTTAATTAAGATTCCAGAAAAACCAATTTTCTTAGGAAGGATAATAAAGCTCTGCCTTGTTCCTTCCCTGGTTGTTAGTGTTTTTGGCAGGTGCGGAAACTGTATTGGCTTCTAATGTCCACATGAGGACAGCAGAAGCTCTTTTCATGCACACTGAGCTGCTGTTTTTCCAATTCATGGTATGTGTCTGTTTTCTGAAGCTTCACCAGTTCCTTCCACCACACTGTTTGTCCAGCATATTCGAGAATTCGCTCACAGCATTAACTCCAGACAACGCACTCCAGTTCCTATCAGCCTTTATTCCGTTTTTAAAAAGAAAACCTGACGGGAGTAAAAATAATTGATTGGTCAGGTAAAAAAGGAGTGGCTCTGGTGGTGCAGTGAATTCCTTATTCCCCAGTTTCCCCTGCGGCACAGATCCTAAATCATTTTGATTGGGGTTGTGACTGTTGGAGATAATCAAGCAAAAATGTGAAAGTAGCCGATTGCATGAGTCCGCCTTAAAATGTTTTTGATGTGCGAATAGATTATCTATCATTCGATCTCGCACCTACCTGCCTCCACTGTCTTTGTGAATGAGTGTCTCACCTTTGTGGTCATTCCTCTGTGTGTCCATCCTGTCAAGACTGTCAAGCAGCCCATCGATCTGTGTCTTTATCAGAGTCAGCTCCTTTTTAATCACCTGCAACTCCTCCATGCCCACTGCAGGGATGAAGAGAGGGAAAACGTAAAGGACGTTAAGAAATTACACAAGCAGGACATCTCTCAGGGAGACCTTTAAAGTTAGACATATTGGGTTATGGGGCATCATATATTAAAATGTGGCATGTGGCATTATTTAGATTTTATGAAATAGTAGGGCAGCATGAGCATAATTAACTATCCCATTTCTAAGGATCAGATTTAGATTTCATAAAAAGGGGTTTGATTACAATAATTTTTCTACACTGCGATGTTTCTCTCATCAGGAACATCACAGAAATGTTTTTTAAAAACTGAACTTCAATACTCAGTGTGTGCTCTAAGTACTACACACAGCATACTTTGCCTGCAATTGCTTTATACTTGAGGGATGGGTATACAAAAGTATTCATCTGAGGTTGACATTTCATTCTTCATACAGACAGGCATTCCCCTCATTAGAGTTTTAGACAAACATTGTAAATCTGCAGCTTCTAGTGCAACCTTTTTCGTGACTTGTTCCATTCATATTACTCACACTTGGATGTGGTTGAATTAGAGGATTGGGCTCTGGAGCTTTTGGAGTGGTTTCTGTCTCGACTGCGTCTGTGCCCAGAGGAGTGGGAGGAGGAGCGCGATCGCTTGGCCAGACTGGGTCCCAGGGGCAGAGGAGACAAGGAGGCGGGCACACGCTGGTAGTCATACGCCCTAAAAATGTGGGAGATACCATTTTAAAACATTAAAACAAGAAGTCCTTCAAATCAGTTGTGGAGAAAAGTAATGTTTTGGTATCAATAGTAAAACTCAGTAATTGCATTGGGCCTAATGTTGAAATATCTTAAACCCAGCCGTGGCTCAAATAACTTGGTGATACAAGTTTGAAAAAAAATGGTCCAAAAGGGAAACATCTTCAGTGAAGAAAAGCATATGTTGAAGCAGCTCATAGATAAATATGGATATTTATATTCTATTGTCCTTTGTCTTTCGATTTGGGTTTCTGTCTCTCCTGCGCTCGTGTAGCCTCCTCCCTGCGGACAGCTCCATGTCTCTATCTGTCACTGAATGTAATTGGTTCTGTCAGGGCCAATCAATAGCTCTCCGCCAGGCTCGTAGTGCTGGTGACAGGGGGTGTAACACAGCCAAACTCTATAGTGCTTAAAGAACCCACACTGTGTCTGTATTTGTGTGTATGTGTGTGTCTATGTGTGTGTGTTACTATAAGAATAGATGTGAATTTTTGATTGAAGCAGAAAGTGATTTGACCTCACATTGAACCCAACAGCAGGGGAACCAGAGCTAAGGGCTACCACAACCACCAATGCAGGAGGTGTGGGAACTAGGCCAATGAAATCTATGAAAGACTAATGTGTCTAACTAATTGTTTTTTTTAATAAAACAAAGGGATACACAGGGTTTCTGTTGGTTCACCAAAAATAAATATGTTTTATTTCTCAGGTTTCCTAATTGTAATTTGCGCTTTTACTGTGACATGTCTCCATGCTTTAATGTCCAAAAAGCCCCTTATTTTTCTCATACTGCCTGTGCTGCAGCACCTCTTTTCACCCTCTGTCTGAAACCAGAGCCCAGTCTGCTCTGATTGGTTAGCTGGCCGGCTCTGTTGTGATTGGTCAGCCACTTAGAGATGTCCCTCCCCTGAGCCTATCACGTACAATGTGTTGGAGCGCTAGCCAATAGAAGTGCGAGTGTTACATAGGGATGTCACTATGTTTAGGAAGTAAACAAAGGAGTCCAATGGATGCGTTTCAGGCAGGGGGGGGATGTGGGGAACTTTGGGATTGTAGCCTTTGCAGACCATTTACATGCATTACACAACCAATATAACACACAACAGGAAAGGGAAAACCCCCCAAAAGGTTGTGCTTTGTTCTAACTCGGGTAAAAACTAAGGACTTTTCTTATGGATTTCTTTCTGTAGAAAAAAGAATACAACTTTCCGAATCATGCTGTAATCATTTTGTCTTCAATTATCTCACATGTATTCCTCCTTTTCCTCTAAAGCTGCTCACATGGTTCCCTCTCTACAACACTGAGGTTGGACCTGAGCTTTTTTACGGTTC